CCGACGATCTATCTTCTATACGCAAATGGCTACCATATTGAAAAATATACTATTTTTGTATGATAATTATGGGTTTTGTATTTTATTTTAATAGAAGTTGATGTTGCTTTTGCAATTATCCATCAATTTTTTAAAATTAAACACTATCTACAGATTTGCATCGAAGCGTTTCTTATGATAGTGATTTTAATCACTGTCAGATTAAATCTATACTGGACCCTACTATGCAATGTCTCCACTATGCCGCGACCCCACTGTGCTACCGTTTTTTGTTAATTGTTGGTATTGTATGAGCATGAGAATAATTAAGTTACTAGAATATTTATTGAATAAAAAATGATATAATATAATTTTCTCTCGGGATATGAGTACGAGGGTTTATGAGAAGATGTAAAATATAGAAAAGCAAAGTGATGTTTGAGCATTGATTAATATAATAATAATTTGAAATAGAAATCATTGTGATTAATTATCACACATAGATCATCAACAACGCCACTCGTACCGGTAGTTATCTAGGCTTGTGCTATCTGTGAGTCGAGTCAATAAATACCTCGAGTAGTATAGGAACCACAAGTTGGTTCTCTATCTTCGCAAGAGAGTCTTTATTAGTATTGACTACACAGGTAACCCACTCAAAGATTAGACTAGGCTGGCTAACTTCGTACAAACGTTTTGATTTTCTTTATTTATTTAGACAATATTTTATTCTAGAGATCACTTTATTTTTTTTGATTTCCTACTTAATTTATGTACTCATTATATTTAACTTTAAACCTTATGGATCTTTTATAGAATATGAATTTACCTTAATGATATCAGGACTAATGTTGAAAAAATGAATATACTTCAATTTTCTATGTAAAATCGTACATTGTCAAGCCACTTATTGCATCCGTTGAAAGTTCATAAGTTGAAGTAGTAGTGAGAGAGATTGACAGTTTTTATGCCCTTTTATATTAAATTTAATTCATCTATCTATGCAAGAAGAGTCACGTCCTTTTACTACTATCTGTTTATTACTCAATTTGTGTTATTTATTACATATTATTTTACTTAAAATAGATAATTTGTAACAACTAAAGAATTTTTTATAATTATAATTACAGTAGATTAATATCAATGTATTTTTAGACGTATTTCTTGGAATAGATTAAAGTATTAACATGAATAATATATTTTTAATTTTATGACTAATATACAATAAGATATAGACTATTGAATAATGAGTGGTGTATGTATTATAACAAATTTTAACATAAAAGTAGCATACGGTAGTCATTTTTACCCTGAAGATAAAATAAAGTCCGAAATTTTTTTTCCATAATAAAGTTAATTACATAATATTTAATTTAAAGTATATATAAAAGTGTCAGTATTTCCGGAACACTTAAAAAATTAATTTTTTGTGAAAAAGTCGTCATTCTGAATTCCCCTTTGGGCAGGTAAAGGATCAAATTTATAAAAAAAATATATAAAATGATAGGTAAGGACATTATGCATGTATTAAAAAAAAATTATATTGATTTGTTCAATTTTGAAAAAGTTATGGCAGTTTTAAGTAAAAAAAATTGAAAAAATTTCGAATATTAGCGATTTTTTAATTTGTAATTTTTTTTAATATTTTCCCCATTTACGGGGAACGAGGGAAATTTTTTCTATTTTTTAATGGTAATATCTTCAACTAGATACGATTTGTGATCTTTTGACGTATCGTTGAAAGAAATCAGTTCGGTGAGAGCTGAGAAAAAGTGGTAACAGACACAAAAAAAAAAATAATAATAAAAGAAAACACATCATAGTAAAATTAATACCTTCTCAGCTTTGCATCGAAGTTAAAAGAGTTTCATGCTTAACATTTTGACTATTGATGATCTTTACATAAGCTTTTTAAAGAAGTAAGTAAATTCGTATTAAACCAATTATTTAGAATTAATAATTTGAATAAAGAATGATAAAGTATTATTTTATAAATAAAAATCATTTAATTTACTTATTAATAACTAGTTAATGCTTGGTGATATACTTCGACTGCTGTCAGAGAGGAGCCAATACTCTGTTCACTACAAAAATACTTCAGCGTATAATACCTCTATAAGAGGAACATAAATCATTCTTTTATATCTACTTGTATTTATTATTCTAAACACTCGGACTTTACAACACCGATAGAACCACGTCGCTTTTAGTCTCATTTTAAGTTACTACAGTTTTTTTAAATTTCCAATCAATAATGTATTGCTATTATAAATTATTTATTTGAAAAAATAAATCTTTTAAATTGGCGCGACAATTTTGATCATAAAATTTTGTTTTTATCTTAGCTTTTTAAAAATGTAAAATATAAAGTAATAGAATAGAAAAACAAATAAGTTATATCATTAGTCAACTAATTTTTTTATTTGCACAAGTATGAATATAAATATAGAAAAACTAAATTGTGGATGGAAACAAATACCACAAAATTTACAAAATAAATGAAATTAGTGCTAGATATTTCTAATCAAAAAAATTTTAAATATGCATTTATTATTTTTTAATGGTTTAATCTTTTGTTTATACTATTTTTCACTATCCACCAGTAATTCAATAAATGATAAATTATGGAAAAGTAAGTACAGATCACAATAATCTCAAATAATTATTTTATAATTTTATAACATCTAATTATCATTTTTAAATTTTAGAAGCTGGTAGATTAATAATTCGTTCTAGTAAGTATTGTTACTACCAGGGCGTAACAAAAAATAAAAACAGTTTATTAAAAACGAAATTGTAAAACTATTTATAATACAAATAATGTACAAAGTGTAAATCTTTTGAACCTTAATAATTAATGGGTGAGTACATTCTCGTATCATCCTTCACGTGTACATTGCTTTGAACTGGTTTTGTTGGTGGACTACTCTTCATCGCCAACCTACGTGATGAGTTCCCTAGAGTCCATTAGAATGTTTGCAACTGCAAAACAATAAAATCATTCTAGTATAGTCTCATCATATTCGTTTCTGTCATAACAAACTTATTTAAGCTATCTAACACTCATAACCAGCTCAATTTAAATTATCGTTAGTCAAGTAGAAAAAATAATTTGCTTTTCGAATTTGTCATTGTCTTTCATGCCTTTAAGTAAAGACCAGTTAATTAAAAAATGATATAACAAGTATGAAAACTATTTATTTATTTTTTATTGATGACATCCGAATATCTACTTAACTCGCTGTATTATATATATTATTATTATGTATCTTCTCAGTGAGCATATTTATTTTTAATTAGTGCGGTTCAGTCCGTAGTTACGCCTATGTTTTATATTATACTCGTATGCTTAATACTAAACATATTGACATACTTTTACTCCAATATTTTGATTTTTTTTTGTTGTCTTTTAATTAACTTAAGCTTGTATTGAAGATAGATTACTTGGCCAATATCAAAAATCTTGTAATATCATCACTGATCATATTTTTTAATACTTCAATAAATATTTATAACATAATATCAAAAAGGTTTTTATCTTAATTTTTTTGATAAACAGGAAAATTTAAAAATTTCCATACTTCTATCTTTATAACTGATCCACGTGTAAAACATTCAAAATTTTATAAAAAAGTTATTACATGTTCTCCATACAGACAATTAAAATCATTCATTTTTAATGTTTTCAAAGTATTTATAGACGAATTAAGTTTGATATTAATTAAGTTTCAATTACAAAATTAAATCATTTNGTTGCAACGTATGGTTACCGAGTTGGTAAAACTTGTGTTTTACACGATTGGGGTACAAGGTTCCAACCCGCATATGGTATTAAAGTTTTGCATTTTTTCTTAATTCTTTTTAAATTAGAATAGATTTTCAACTGCTTTGATTTTTATCTCATTTAGATTCAATAATTTAGATCCCATTACTATTGTCGCCACTCGCCAGAAGAAATTTTTATTCTTATTAAAATAATTTTACTATATTTTAAGTTTTAGCTTCGATGCAAAGCTGAGATGATATTTTTTTGTGACTATCATTTATTTTCTTTGCTCTAACTTGACCTACTTTTTTCAACGATACGTCAAATGACAACAATTTGTATCTAGTTGAAGATATAACCCTCAAAAATTGAAAAAAAATTCTAATTTATCAATTATACAGTTAGTTATTACATGTTCTCCATACAGACAATTAAAATCATTCATTTTTAATGTTTTCAAAGTATTTATAGACGAATTAAGTTTGATATTAATTAAGTTTCAATTACAAAATTAAATCATTTTATTTTGTAATTTAATAATTTGTTTACTCTATTTGTGTGTGCTACTACTAGACTATAATATTACAAATTTTTTTGTAACATTTTGCTATATAAATCATTTCTAAAAAAAATTATTGTTTTTTCTCTTGAATTAACAATTGATTTTTACAAATATAATCAAATTTTATAATACGCTCAATTGAGTAAATCTTTTTAACAACTTTGTTTTNAGATTGTTAGTTTCTCCTGAATTAATAATAGATTTTTACAAATATAATCAAATTTTATAATACGCTCAATTGAGTAAATCTTTTTAACAACTTTGTTTTAATTGGTTCATTTAGTTAAAATAAATCATTAAAATTAATTAAGTTCTCAATATTTCAATTGTAGAATCTTTTCGAACAACAAAAGTTACTTGGAAATTATTACTCTAACTTCTATTTAAGTTATCTATTACCATAAAAATGCAAAAAAATATTGAGCTTTTCTGATAAATTTACAATAAATAGTAATTATAAAACTTTCTGACTGCATATTGATCTTAACGATACAATTTTTTTAATTGTCATAAAATTTTCTATTTAATTATGTCAATGTCAAACTTACCAATTGAGCTAAAAGTTATGGTNTATACGTAAAATATTTACGTTTGTTATGAGATTTATAATTATAACTAACTATATAATTCTTTATTTTCCTTCTATCTCTTAGCAGATCAATTCTACCGACTCTGTTTATATTTTATAATGCGGACTAGCTATTTGTAAACAGTAGATTAATAATTCGGTGACCAAAACCATCTAAACCATCATCATTTATAATTGGTTTCTGTTACAGTTTTATAACTTAATTTGAAAAATCACTAGTTTCGATTCGAGTTTTTAACTGGTATTAAAATATGAACATATCAGTTAAGAAAATGATTTTAAAAATATTTTATTTTATTAATTTGTATTTTTAATGTGTTTGTAGATAACGCCTTTAACAAAGAACTAGTGGACCAGTTGTCACGAACACCGTTGAATATATCATATCATGTGATAGCTGATCTCCGGCGTCTTTACTTATCTACCCTCCGCCTATCCATCACGGCAACTCGACAACCTACGCATCCATTGTACTGTCGTACTGTCCATCTTCTCTGCACAACGAATGAATATTATGCGTCTTTTGTTTACACAACAAGCGCCTCCGCTTTTGTGTGCTATTCAGTGGTGGTCGTTTATGGGTGCTGGTGGTAGGGATGCGACTTTAAATATAATACCACTAGTCATAAGTATAACAAATTGTCAAATTAAATATAATAAAATAGAACACAACACACATATAATTATTTTAAAGGTTGCAGTAGAAAATAATTATAACAGCGATTATACTATTGTAGCAATCGATAACAACAAGCGTACACGCCGTTAATTCTAAAAACGAATTACCAATATAATAACTTACTAATATTTTAACGTATGGACAATAGGGTGACCGCTAATTATGAACTTTTAAAATTTTAAAACAATCCCCTAGGATTGTTCGAATATCCAAAAAGAATAAGTGTGCAAAAAAAGGTAATGGTTGTGAAAACTCTAAGGCGTGCTCAAAGAGGGTTAAAAATGATACCCTTAGGATAGATTTTTTTGTTTATCTCAAAAACATTAACTTTTATGATAAAGTTTATAGAAACTTTTTTGTAGATATAATATTTTTTTTATAAAAAATATATCTACAAACATTTTCGAAAAATTGTTATTTAGCCTAACAAAAAATTAAAATACAAATGTTCTATATTTACCGTTCAAACTGTTAACTTGATTTATTTTATAAACCGTTCACTGTAAAAAAAAAATGTGTCACATAAAAGTTGTTTTAAATTAAATTTATTATCTAACATTTTTTTTACCATTTACTTATGACAAGGTACATTGAATAATTTGTAAATTTAATTAGAATAAAATATTCAGACTTACATATTAATAAAACACTAAAAACTACTTTACAAATAATAAAAAGCGATGTAAAAGTCACTAATCAAAATTTATTTCATTTAATTATAAATACATAAATAAAATGTGCATATATTTTATTAAATTATCCTACTATAAATACAAAAGTATTAATTAATTCAAAATTATTCATTACAGAGAAAAAAATTAATAAAGATTCTAAGTATTTCCTTGTACTCATGAAGTAGTATAATTTTTTCAAGTACAATTAACTGAGTATAACTTATAACTACAAACTTGAAATTATTTCTGAAATAATTAAGAAATATTTTTGTATGGTACAGAACGCCTTTAGAAGGATCTAGTTGATCACTAGTTACAAAGATCATTGATTATATTATTTCGTGGGACAGCTGATCATCAGCATCTTGCTTTACTCACCCACTTGCCCACCCATCACGACAAATCGATGACCTCCGTATCGGTTTTCATCCGTGTACAGTTCATTGTCGTAAGTCAGTCAGTCAATTTTGTTTTTTGTTGTGTTACTTTTTTTCTGTTGCAAGCGCCTTAGCTTGAATGGTAAAATTGTCCGGCCGTTGTACGCCATAGTTTCTTATTACTTGTTTATTCACTGAAAAAAATTAGTACATAATATTAAAAAAAAGTTCATTAATAAAATAATTTTGGTTATTGATTTGAACCCGATGACGCCATTATTGATATAACGAAATATTGATTATTAATATTACGTACGGACCTACCGTAATATTGATAAACAACAATTGTAATATTAATAACTGTTGTTTTTAATACTAAAATATCGTGTACGTAATATCAATAACGGTGTTTTTATAATAAAAACCATTTTTTATAAATATTACAACTAGGATTATTGATTTTAGGTACTGTATTCGTTATATTAATAACTACGATTATAATATAAAATACCAGGATTTTAATATCAATAAACAGTATTCGTTATATTTATAAATGTTTTAAATTACACTTCTAATTATAATTATTATTACTAGTATTACTATAGTATTAATTTTTATAAGAATTAAATATAAAAATTAATTTAATTTAATACAAAAAAATTAATAAAGAAAAGGGGTTAAAGTCCAAAATTACAAGTTTTCAGGATAACAAAAAAAATATTTTTTATTATTACAAAATTAAAAGCTTTAAATAAGCAATAAAGTATTAAACCAATACCATCAAAATATACAGTAAACTTTATTTAACAATTAATTGTATTAATCAACGCATTTATTTATTTTAATTATAAGTAAAAATATAGTTCAAATTAGTATAAAGAATTTAAACAATCAATTATTAATAACAAAAGAATTTATATAAATATCAATTTAACAACTAATTAATGTATAAATTTAAGTTGTTAAATTACATGTATTGGAACAATACTTTAATTATTTAAGTATTGTTCCAATACATGTACTTTAGGAAAACTTAGCTTATCTATGAAATCATAAAAAAAATATTCCAAAAAAGAATAAAATATTACAGATTCATCCGGAAATTTAAAATCAAATAAATAAATGGATTTAAAACAAATATCAAGAGCTTTTATGATACTTTTAAAAATATATCTAACGCCATCCAAATATAGGAAAATCTCATTAATTGATGTTATATTTTCTCCAATACAAAATATAGTGGGCTGGATTGATTTTTTTGATTTTTTCAAGTTTTCAATATGGTCTTCGACCATTTGAATTGTAGATCCAACAAAAATAACGGATTCTTGTGAATCTCGAATAGTGAATTTTATAGTTGTTNAGACTATTTGAATTGTAGATCCAATAAAAATAACGGATTCTTGTGAATCTCGAATAGTGAATTTTATAGTTGTTTTCTGCTTTGTTTTTGGGTCAATTTTAACAAGTTTATTTGTTGGTACAAAATACCCATGCAGTGCCCAAATAATAGCAGCATCTCTTCCGTCTAAAAAATAAATACAATGTAACGTAAATGTTGATAAAACTACACATCAAATTTTTTTTTTTTTTCTCTTACTTTCAGATATTTGATTGTTCATTCTGATAATTTCAATAAGTTTTGTTACATTTTTGTCTTTAACGTTAGAATTAAAAGAAAGGAATAACAACAATTTACTAATATTTTTTTCCCAATTTTCTAAAAGGTCGCCTTTTTTTTCAAAAGCAGCTTCAAAGTCCATGTCAATCTGAAAATTTAAAAATAATAAATTCTTGTTCACTTAATGAATAAAATTTTCAAACTTACTAAACGGTAACCATTTGCTGTTTTATATGCTGGCCATTTATCAAAGATGTCTTTTGTTGTATACTTTTTTATAAAATCAAGGCGTGAATTAAAACATGCCTGCCATGTTCGGTCAAATTCTTCATTACTTAAATTGTCATATTTTAATATTTTTATATAGTTCTCTGAATCTACCTCTGGTTCTAAAAAGTATTATTTAAAAGTTTTACAGCTTTAAATTTATCTATTCCAGAAATAAAATATTATTTATATTAATATATATATATATTATAATTGCAATATACCTGAGCATTTTGAATGTATACTAAACTTTTCAGAATTGACAGGTGATTTCTTGTCTACCGTTCCAAGAGGTCCAGATACAACTTTAAATAACGTTGCTAAATTGTAATACTTATTATAGATTCTACCCCGTTTAGAAGTTCTATAATACTCCTATAAAAATTAATTATATGTGAGTTAACAAACTTCATTACTGCCTAGAAATATTATTATATTAGTAAATATTAATAAAACATTATTATTATCTTAAAAAAAAAAAAAAAAGAAATTACCATAATAGATTTTTTTTTGGAAAAATTTTGATTTGCTTTTTCTTAAAACAATGTTTAAACATGATAATTTTTATTTTATTTTTTTGTCATTAAGTGATTATTAGTTGAATAAAAATTATATATTACCAGTTTCTCAGATGGGAATCTTTCCAAAATTTGTTGTTCTAACTGATACATTTGAAGAATCTGAAGACGTAGAAGAATAAATAAATAATAAAATTAATAGGATAGCAAATGCTGTTGTGTTGAATCTAAAACAATATTACTGCTACTAAGAGAACTACTTGGATTATTTTGATGATGTCTCATGACATGTCTCCTAAATCTTGTTAATAGAGTAAAACCTTGGCCACAATCATTGCATCTAACGAATGAATAATTATTCAACTCGTGCGAATTTTTTAAATGAACTATTAGATTTTCAATATGGTCAAAAGACAATTTACACATGAAACATATCATTTTAATTTCAGTAGAGAATATTGACCAAAGAATTTTTCGGAAGTTTAAAAAATAGTTGAATAAATATAACAAAAGATCAATTTAGTTTAAATATTATTTAAAATATACTAATGTCACTTACCTTGTTTTCTAAGTAAGTTCTCCTAAAAATTTGAATTTGTTCTTTATTTTTTAACACTGCACAGTTGTGTATTTAAACAAGTAACAGGTCAAATGTAATGCTAGCTGATGCTTTGATACACCGTTAAGTTAATTTTGTATAAATGACAAGCGTATTTTCCAAATGACAATTGAAATTGTTGTATCAATGAACTCTTTATTAATATAAAAAAATTATGTAATCGATATAATATTGATAAAAAGTCTTCTTAACTATTACAAAAAGGTTCGTAATATAAATTAACACAGTTGTAATATTAACGAACAATTGTATTTAACATGAATGTCAATCATAAATGTTTTCTTCTTAATAAAAACCGTGTTCATAAAATCAATAAATACAGTTATTCATATAACGAACACTATTATTGATACAACGAAACTCTACGTAATATCAATAATTTTTATTCATTAATCTTAGGAATGACTGATTTGTAATATTAATAAACACAATTTTTGGTATAACGAACTTTTTAAAAAAGTTTCGTTGTTATATTGATAAACGCGAGTTCGTAATATTAATAATCACCTGTTCGTAATATTAATAAAAAAGTTCGTAAAATCAATAAACTTGATCATTTTTGGTCAATAACCGTTGTTTATTAATATTATAAACGACTTTTTTTTCAGTGTTGCACCTTTGTGCTCAACGTTTACGTGCCCTTGCACGCCACTAGTGATTGGGCCCTGACCATCGCTAAACATTATCATTGCCGTAGTATGTTCTCATCTGCAATACGTGCCTGGATTTACACTCTGACTCCGTCATACTCAGATGTTCGACACCATTACCACAAGATCTCATACAGTCCACTCATCACCATCAATAACGTCATCTATACAGCTGAGTTTCATATTATTTTTAATGTTATTTAATGTTTGTTTTAATTGAGATTAACTATTTGTTTTATGCCGCTTCGCCGGCCACTAGTATTTAGTAAGGGCCCCCCTTGGGAGGCCGTATTTATGCGGAAAAAAAATGGGCGGAACATGAATTATCCGGAAAAAATATCTCTGGAACGTATATTACTGGAACTGTATAATTACGGAAACTTTAAAATCCGGACTGTAAAATTCAGGATCGTAAAATCCCGGACCGTATAAATACGGAATACAAGATGCCTGACCGTAGATTACCGGTCTTCTAAAATTCGGAATGTAGAACGCCGGACCGTAGAAATCCGGAAAATATTGTTATGAGTGGTTCTCAATATGCTCTCTCGTTCTATATAGTTTTATTCCATGAATACCTACTGAAGCACGGAGATTCGGAATGAATTTTCAGCATGAAAAAATTATTATTAATTGTGTTTTAAAATTATTATTGTATAGTCCTACAAATTCAAGTTAGACATTTGTTTTTCATATCTTCTATTAATGGAGATTTCTGTTCGATTTCGATCATTCTTAAGATAAAATATCAATTTTATATTATTAATATTCCTAAATCCAATAGTGATTGCAATAAGTGTTTTTTTAATTTAATAAATTTATAAAAATCATAGTGTACATACAACATAGCTATTTGTAGCTATTTGAGCAGCTCGAAATCGCTGTACATTTTAAACCTACTTTATATTTGAAAACCTGAAATCTTTTTAATTTCAGTGTTAAGGAGTTTTTATTAAATATTATTATAAAATCAAAGTAACATAATTGACAAACATATTTTAGATTTTATTCTTAAAAAAAAAAAGTACAAATAATGAAAATAATTTACATCCCGGTGTGCAAAAATGAGTTAATGTGACGAAACGTAAAAGGCTCGGGGCAACTTGCGATATTGAAGTAAAAGTTTGTTAATTTCTTAGGGACGTTATTTAAATGCCAAACGCTCGGTTACAGATACAATATAATACTTATGTATATTACAAATACAACTTTATATAGAAGTTAATCCAATACTATTAGAGTACTTTAATATATACATTCATATACACATATTAATTTATAATACAGTGGTCTCTGTATAAACTTCGTTTATTTTTAAATTAATTTGATGCAAAGTGATCGGAATTTTGTTCTAAACAGCATACAAAAAATATTGGTGAATTTTATTGTCAACCCCTTCACGTACGACAAAGGGATTAAAAATTGACAAAAAAATGTAGAAATCTATTTTTTTTATATATATCCTATTAATTATTATAAATAGAAAAAATTCCTCAGAATTAAAAATACAGTTAACTATAATGAAAAGATAGAGGTCTTTACAAATTTGTTGTAACATTGATTTATTAACGTCTAACTAATAAATTCTGTTTAATTTTAGTTTTCGCGAAGAATTTTTTGGTCTTTAATGTTTATCTCTATAATTATTGTACGTCGGTAGTACCCCGATGCAGACACAAAAAGGAATACGCAAATTAATTAATATTTTTGATCGACAAGTTCGACGTTTTTAGCTCCTCCCGTTGGATACACTGGTCAGAATTTAAAAAAAATGATATAATTTAAAAAAGAAATACTTAAGAATTTAATATAAATAAAAATTATTTTGATTTGTTAATTTTTGAAATAGGTATGGTAGTTTTAAGAAAAAAAATGTCAAGAATTATTGATTTTTAAAATTTAAATTTTTTTGGTAGATTTTGTCCATTTACAGGGAAGGAGGAAATTTTTTTTTTATTTTTAAGGGCAATATCTTCAAATATATATGATTTATGATCTTTTGACGTATTGTTGATAAAAATCGGACCAGTGAGAGTTAAGGAAAAGTGGCAGCAGACAAAAACAAAACACATCATAGTTAAATATTATTTAAAATATTTAAATATTATAAAATATTTCTTGTCGGATTTGCATCGAAGCTTAAATAATATTTTATGCTAATAAATATTGAACTATAATTTAACTTATTGAAGGTCAAAGTGTGGATACTTTTTTAAATCAAATACTTTTTTAAAAAGTTCATGATACTGTTCAAATACTTTTATGAAAAAGTATTTGAAATACTAGTTAAATATTTTCATTTAATTGTATTTGGAATACATCTAAATTACTTAAACAATTTTTTTAAGACTATAGGCACAATAGGGGTTGTTACTTAAAATTTTAGGTTTTTATCTCTGGAGAGATGACAAAAAAATATTTAACTACATATTATTGTAGAATTTTTAGAATTAAACAATAATTTCTTTTTCGAAAATTACATATTTTCTAAGATAATTTCTTGGATTAAATATCAAAGAATGTCTTATCTTTAATTAATTACCTGTATAATATATTTGATAGATTTTTTCATACGATAATTTAACCAAAAACATGGAGTTGAAGACATTTTAGTTGTTGTCTATACCAAAGATTTGTAAATCAATTTTATCATTCAGGTTAGTTTTCTGCTGTATTAAAATATTGATTGGCAACAAACATTACTGAAATTTTTTAATTATTTTTGTCCTTCAGAATAATGGGTAAAATTGATTTATAAGCTTACCGAAAAGTACTTAGGCACTACCAAATAGATAATATTTTTTTTATGATACTTATAATACTAAATCAATTATAACACAAAGTTAAACTAATGCAGTTTAAAATTTAAATTACTTTTCAAAATCTTTTGAATTTAAAATTGTACTGTGATCTTAAAAAATAGTTTAATTTTCAATTGAATTAAACTGACTTTATTTAACTATACGATTTATTCTGTTAGTTTATATGTTGTTAATTTTAAAATTAGGGTACTAAATTTACGATGGATCCAAGTAATTACTAAAATGTATTCTTAACTCCTATTTGTAAAAATAAATAATCATTTCCCACTAAAGCTTTTTTATAATTCACGAAGAATTTTATGTACAGTATATTTTAGTGATAGTAAATAGAATATATTGTAATAATAATAAATTTTAATATCACGGGAATCTACTTTATACAATTTTTCATGGAAGAAATAATAAATGTCATGAGATATTTAATGCTTTATAAATAAAGATTTTGATTATTCACATTTTTGGAACCAATGATATATTTCCGTAAAAATACAGTCCGGGAATATACAATCCGGCTCTTCACTTTCCGCGATTATACGTTCCGTCATTCTACGGTCTGTTATTTGTCTTTCCGTCAATGTACGGTCCGGCATTGTACTTTCCGTCGTTCTACGGTCCGTAAATATTAGTTCAGAAATATTACTTTCCGTTATTATACATTCCGGTAATATTTTTTCCGTACTTATATAGCCCCCCCCCTTTACCCCTAAAATTTAAGATACTCTCTGAGGAATTTTTAATATATGTGATTATTGTCTACTCTCGTTTACTTATTGGATGTATAGTTAGCCGAAATCTCCTAGGTGACCCACTCCCGCATCAATAATATCGTTTTTTAAACAGGCTTAAGATAAAACGGCATTCTAGTACGGTGCACAACTAGCCGTCCTAAGGTCTAGCTGCCTCGTACACAACAATGTCATTGTTGTATAATTTTTTTATTTCTTTAAATAAGTGTATAGATGGAATGTATATTAAACGAATAACTTCTATGATAAATGTGCAAAGAAATTCTACAAAGTACTCAATAAGTTCGGAAACATCGTTTTTTTTGAGCCGCTATTGATTTTTTTAACAATTTTTTTTTTAGAGGCTAATTGAATAATTAAATGCATCTTTTACGATTAAAATTAAAGTTCAACCCTCATGCAAAAGGGTAGAAATTTACCCTAACTTAAGAAATATAAATGGCAACCCCTAATTTTTCTTACTCATTTCAATAGAGATTTCAATTTTAAAAAGAATTATGATGAAAATAACTTTTTATGTTAAACCATTTTTAAATAATTGTTGTTTTAAGGGTAGAAAAGTGTCCTATTTAAAGGCAAATTTTGCTATGATCATTTTTATGAATTTAATTTTATAAAGATGATATCATTTGCAAATTTATTAAGAAAAAAAAATTTTTACTAAAGCGTGCAAAAAGAACTTTAATGGACATTTTAAAAATCGCTCTCTTATACACGATCTTTAATTGGGATAGTTTTAGAATATAGTATTATCAATCAATGCATATCATAATGTTTCCGGACTTTTTCCTATAGGAGTTTTAGCATTGGTATCTAACATACATAACTAGTGTACACTTTTATCTGTGACAGTTTAAACGTGTTAATTTGTTATAGTCACTTTATCGACAGTGTCATTTAAAGTACGCCATACTGTCAAAACTTATTATAAGTAGTAATTTGAAGGTTTACACAAAAATAAATATAGTTTTAATAAACTAAAAAACACGCTTTTAAAGCACATCGAACTAAAAAGTTAAAAATAATTTTTAAAATAAGCTTAAAATAATAATGAACGAAAAATACTAGTATTATTGTGATAATAGCGTCAGGCGCTTAATATACGAAAAATATGGCACAAAGCACCCACGCTTTTATCACAATAATACTAGCACTTTTCGTTCATTATTGTTTTAAGTTTATTTTAAAAATTATTTTTAAACTATACTAGCTTCGATGCGAAGCTGTGAAGGTATTAATTTTCCTATGATGTTTTTTTTTTTTTTTTTTTTTTT